TTGCAATTCTTGAATGTTTAGAGACCATCGGGTTGCTTCGATCTCAGATTTCTTTCAAGCTTTACCCTATGTTACCACAAAATTACTAACATTGTTGTTCGTGTTGGCCCTGCCAGTGGACCAACCGAGCAGTCGCTGCTCCTGAATTCTCACTATGATACCATGCCCGATACGCCTGGAGCTACTGATGATGCTGTAAGTGGCACATCTGTAAGTTTTCTTGGGAATAATCAGCAGTCTAGGTGTCTTGCGCCATTATGATGGATGTGTTGAATGTTATGTCACAATCGGATGAACCACTGAGAAATGATGTAGTTTTCTTGTTCAATGGAGGTAAGATTTAGCTATCTAGTTTCAGAACTAAAGATGCAATAATTTTTACAGCTGAAGAGAACTTTCTACAAGGTGCACATGGATTTATCGAGAACCATCCATGGCGGCATACTATCCATGCATTCATCAATCTTGAAGGGACTGGCTCCGGCGGGCGCGAAATTCTGTTTCAGGTAAGAACTTTGATAAGACAATGTTTACGCTTCCTGCTTGTCTCAAGATGATTCCTACTGTGACTATATCGTGGCATAGCTTTAGGTGCTTTTAAGTGTTGTCAAATTTGTACAATTTGATTGGTAATCTAATAAGACCAGAATGTCATTTTTAGTTGTCTTAAAGACGCTTGAAGTAATGAGAAGCTATTCTTTCCTCCGATTTATTTCCCAAAATATTCCCATGTTGTTCTTGTTCAGGCTGGTCCGGGGAACTCCTGGCTGTTGCAAACGTACCTCGAGGCGGCACCGCATCCATTCTGCAGTGTTCTTGCCCAAGAAATCTTTCAGTCTGGTATCATACCATCCGATACGGACTTCCGTATCTTTCGTGATTATGGAAGGATCTCAGGTATTTAATGAGCCGTTTTCGAGACCTGAGGACGTACTCATCGATATCTTTGGATGTATGTACCAAGTTTTCAGGACTAGACATTGCTTACACGAAAAATGGATGGGTTTATCACACTGAGTTTGATGAAGAGTGGCGAATTGAAGCCGGCGCCATCCAGAGGTATGATGTTTTGGAATTCATTGTTTCTTTACCGTTATGTTATTATCCACAACTCATTTCATGATGATTGTAGAGCGGGAGAGAATGTGCTTGCTGTTGTTCGTGCTATTTTGAAGAGCCCCTACTTGGTCCAAGCAGCATCCTTCGAAGAGGCCAATAAATGGGTGTTCTACGATGTTGTTGGTCTTTTTACCATCTTCTATACGGTGACAGTTGGTGAGTTTGTGTTCATAACTTTATATCTAAGGCAGTCGATGCACTTTTTAAGGCCAAATTCTCAATTATGGCACATGCGCAGTAGTTGTCGCACTTGTTGCTTTTCGTATCATGCGCGGTCACTACACATTGAGTGATCTTGGAGAAGCTTTTTGGCACCATGTATGTGCATTCGTGACGATGTTCATTACCATGATAGTAGTAGTTGTACTTGTGCTAAAGTTTGATCTCCTAATGTGCTGGTAAGCTTTTTTT